CAGCGCTAAAATGAAATGAAATACTTTATTTTTATTCAATAACGCACACCCCCCCTCCACCCTATCATAAGTATCTATGGAAAAACAGGCTTCGCAGAGCACGATTCCATTTACGCGCTGTTTTCAGGAGCGCATATCGTGCATTACGCGTGAGACACCCGTACTTCCATGTTCGTGATTCCGGTTCCAAATGTAAACATTTACATCGTTTGTCCCAAACAACACAAACGACACTGCGAAACATCCCACTCACCTCTCTCTCTCCATCCCCTTCACTCCTCTCCCTCCCTGGAGGGTGCAGATAAGGAGGTGGCTGGGAAATCGGATGGAGATCAGTGTGTGTACGCCAATCTTGAAATGATGCCATCTTCGTCCATTCCTCGCCCCGTCTCGACAAACAGCACCACGTACGCCACCGTCACAGGTACCGTGCGTCACGAGAGGGCCCGGAACTTCATAGAGATGGGTTCCATCTTGGCGTTCCACGGTCGTTACGCCTCGCCCTTCTCGCTATTCTCTGGGGGGTTCCTGGTGGGCTCTGATGTTGTATGTATGTTGAACTTCTTTTGCACTGTACGTAGCCAACCGTGCTAATCGGAGGTGCGGAGAGGGGCAACACACTAAACACAAAAAGCAGGTCTAAAGAAATAAGTTTTCAATCTAGATTTAAAACTGTATAGTTCCATTGGTTCCCTAATATTGGAAGGAAGAGCATTGCAGACGGCCGCAGAAGCGCATCTAAAAACGGGCGATGCAGTGACCGTCTTTGTTCGATGGTTAGCCAAAAGCCGCAGCTGCTGCAAGGATGACCGGAGTTTGCGTGGCGGGTTATGTTCATTGAAGAGATCAGCATGCTAAGAGATGAACCTTGGCAGCAAAGCGCGTAACTTTACCAGGTGTTCACGTGAGAGATGTGGGGCGGGGGGGGGTGTGACATCGTCTGTGAAGCGACTTCACAAATCAGAAATCTTTATTTGTCACGCTTGACCTGTGTGCATTTCCAGACTCGAGGGTCCAGGACGAAGGGGTGGTGTACGCCGAGGTGACCACTGACCGTTTCACCGGAGCTCCCAGAGAATCCACGGAGCCTAACGGGCCCAGTACGGTCTACTCAGAGGTCCAGGCCCACAGGCCTTGACAAGACCTCCCTTCAACGAACCTTCACTTCTGCAGCCGCAGTGTTTGAATTTGCTTTTCTTATTTGTCAACTTTAGTTTTTAGATTTTTATATTTCTTTATTTTAGCTTCTGTTTGTCAGTGGTTTGATGACTCCATGAATTTGAACTGAATGAAACATTATTTCATTGTCTACAATGGCCAGGCATAATTCTGATTGATATCCACGTGTCTTTTCGTTGTTTGTATTCAAAGGTCGTTACCCATTTCTAATTCTAGCTTTCTCATGTTGTTCGTTGGGTTCTACATTGTCCATTATTCTGTTTCCAGTCTGGTGAAGATATTTTAGATTTGGTTTGTTCTCTTGGTCTTTCACTATCTGAACTGACTGCGATGGATCCAGAAATCTCAGACCACTCCGTGGTCCTCTTTGATATATCCCTGCCCCCTCCTGGTCCTTCTATTGAACATCAAATTTCATTTAGCAAACGTCCTATCGAGTTCTCCACTCGCTGACGACTGTCAGCTTCCCGCTGAAGAAGCTACTCAATTATAAAACTCTGTTCTGTCAGAGATCCTGGATCATTTGGCTCCCCTCCAAACCCTTTGGACATCTTCCTATCACCCTTCGCCATGGCACAATGCAGAATTGATGGCGCAAAAATGTACTGTCCGTAAACCAGAACGTACTTGGAGGAAGTCCGGCCTCACTATTCGTTACAAAATATTTAAAGAACAGCTTCTTACTTTACGTAACAACATTGCATGGGCTAAATCCTCCTACATTGCTGGTCGCATTGCAAATAGTGATAACAATACTCTGACCTTGTTTTCCTGTATCAGTCAACTTTTGAATAAGGAACCAAATGTAATCCCCCACTCCTCCGCTGATTTCTGTACCAGAATTCAACAGTTTTTTCACGATAAAATTTCCATTATCCGGTCCAAATTACTGTCTCTTCCCTCTGTTCCCTCTCTTTCCTACTTGCATCCAGCTAAGTTCGAGACCAACATTTTTACGGAGTTTCCCGCAATTTCAACTGCAGAACTTCATCTCGTTAGTTGCTGCTTTTCAACCTACCAGCTGTTCACTGGATCCGTTCCCTTAAAGGCTGTCCCGTCACGGGATCTTTAACGTGCCCTGCGAAGCGTGGATGTTGCTCCCGGCCCACCGGGATTTGTCTCCTTCTCCGCATTTAGAATCAACGTTCCAATGGTGTAAATGCTTACCCCGAGCTCTCATACTCTGATGGTGCATTGTCTTTGAGTTGTGCGCCTTTTGGCGTCATCTGGTCCAACACCATGTGAGACTAGGCTCTATGGAAAGCTGTCTCGGGTGTGGACCAATCAACTTCAAGGACAGTGCACACATTATCAGAGTTGTGTTTTTTGTTTGCATTATGGCTGCAGGTATGTGGTCTATGCAAATGTAATAAAGAACTCGGACGCTCTCTCTGTCTCCGTGTCCTTTATTTGGGTTCTTATGCTTTTCCCTCACGGCACTCCCCCAGATACTCTTCGTTCGGCAGCCCTAGGCTGCTGTCGCTCACGTAGCCCACTTTCTCTCCTAGCAGACCCGCTGCTGAACTCCTCGTGCAGACCCCCGCTGCCCAACTCCCCTTTTGCAGACCCGCTGCTCTCTGCAGCCTCCTCGCTGCTCCTGCTGCTCCGGGGTCGGTCACCGTTGGCCGACGGTGCCGAACCTCGGGGTCCGTGTATGTGGCGATCTCGCCACTCTCTCTCTCACTCTCCGCCCTGCGTGGCCTCACTCTTTCCCAGTCTCCGATCACTCCCCTTCCTCTTCCGGTTTCTCCCCCTATAGACCTGAACCCTCTCCCCCACGTGACGTAACTCCTCCCCCCATGACGTCACTTCCGGGAGGTCGTTTACGCCCGCGTTACACAAACATGACTCCTTGTAAAAAAGGTGTCAGTTTTGTTGCCAGATAGAAGGGTAAAAAACCAATTATCACGTTTAGAGTATTTGGCTGCTTAATGAATGTCCACACGATGGGAGCCACACTTCGTTGAGCTATCATTTGTGGCCAGGTCGCTTCTGAGAAATAGCTCTATAGCTCAGTGGGCCTTACCCGGCAAAATAATTAATTAGTACATTAAGGGTTAGTATTCCTCCAGTATAAATAAATGTTCTGATTCTGTATTATGATTATTGTTCTTTGGTTATTTCGGTAATCAAATCAAATAATAACAGACACATGCAGAGAGAGACACACACAAAGACACATTGTGTGTGTGTCTCTCTCTGCATGTGTGTCTGCCTATGTTATTTCCGTGTCTGTGTTTTATCATTCATTCTTACCTGATGATGGTTGCTTGCGTCGCAATCGAAACGTCGTATTCTATTGTTATTTGATTTGATTTCCTACGTGACTTTAGCGAAAGAACCAAAGAGTAATTCCTGCAGTCACGAAAGCTTCGAATCTAGATCATTAGTGTTGCTGTTATAACTCCCGCAGTATTTATCTGGGCGGCCGCTGGATGCTAACCGCGGACCTCTGCAACAAGCGGCCGTGTCGCTGTCCGAGGCAAAGGCGCAGCCCTGCAATTGCTCGCTTCACTGCGAGCAGAAGGGCATCTACTGGAGGGTATTTGGCCTCCTCTTCCACTCCGGCCGTATGTACGTCTTGGAATAGTTGGACGTTATCCGCACCTCCGATGGGCACGGTTGTGCTACGTACGGTGCGAAAGAAGTTCAACAGACATGCGATGCACACACAAATAACCCCCGTATAGCCTTAACAGACTTTTGGGGCAAGTGTTATACCCACACTTTACCCCCCACACACAACCTGGCGTGTGACTGGGGGAGGGAGGGAGGGGGGAGAGAGATAGAGGCTGTTGCGGTGTGGTGGGGTCTAGGAAACTTGTGCCATTGTTTCAACTGCCGCGTCTGGAGATCGAAGCGACCGGCCGATTACGCAACTGCAGAGTCCGACGTGAATCCGAATTAATCGATTAAAAGTCACGTAGAAGGGAAATAATATAATAATAAAAATAAAACATAATAAAATACAGTTCTCACGAAGTTTCGGCCACAACGCAAGCAGCCGTCCTCAGGTGAAGAACAGGGTTGTTGGAAAGACAGCGTCCCAATGAACACCACCAAGCTTGGCAGCGTATATTTAAGCTGGGTAGGAGGAGGAGAGCGCCTTGACAAAGGAATTTAAATATCAACAGAGGAATGTAGCATGTTTATGGAAAATACAGATATGGGATTAGTCACTACTTGTGGAATGTGTACGTGGTGGGGGGGGGGGGGGTCTCAAAGTCATATTATGCTCGTGTATTATGTAGGATTAGCAGTAATAAAAGGAGGAAGTATGATTAGCAGTAATAAAGGGAGGGAAATTTTAATAGTAAGGAGCTGCAGCAGCCAAACCACCACGTAAAAAACTAAAATATAAACTGCATCAATATCATAATTGTTTTTTAACCCTTTAATCTGGCAACAAAACTGACACCTTTTTTACGAGTCATGTTTGCATAGACCACAATATCTGCAGTCATAATGCAAACATTATGACTGCAGGTATTATGACTGCAGGTATTGTGGTCTATGCAAACATGTTTGCATAGACCACAATACCTGCAGTCATAATGCAAACAAAAAACATATGTTTGCATTATGACTGCAGGTATTGTGGTCTATGCAAACATGACTCCTCGTAAATAAGGTGTCAGTTTTGTTGCCAGATAAAAGGGTAAAAAAAACAATTATCATATTTTTTACTAGCAAATGAGGTACCAATGGTGCATCAATTTCATCCACGGACGTTTAGAATCGATTTCCCGTAATCACCAGCAAAAAGGGGAATCGACTTCGCTACCGCAGCCATCGCGAATCGATGGAATCGAATCGAGCTCCTGCAAACGCCCGCTATGGAGTAGCGGCAGCAGCAGCAGCGGCGGAGGCGGCAACCACCAGCGGCTCACTCATCCTCACGGAAACAACGCATCCACACGCCCGATACGTGATGCGTGGGCCTCTAAGAGCCCGCGACATCCACACAACAACACAAACAACGATACAACGAGCAGGCGCGGGAGAAGAAACACATCAGCGATGAAGGCCCCATGTCCGCGGGGCCTACGGGCTTTCCTGAGCAGCCTGGCCGGGTTCGCGCTCGGATTCTCGGCAGCCACTTGGCTCTTCTCGCCCTGGGCAGCGCAGCGAGCCGGCAGTGGCGGCAGTGGCGTCGTTCCCACCGGGGTTCACTGCTGGTGGCAGGGCGGCTTCGGGCGAGGGGGAGCTCTACTGATGGGCGCCGGGAGAAGCGGTGCGTCGTCATTCTCGTTTGCATTCTCTTTCCCATTCGCGTCGTCCTCGGCCTCCCGGGAGGAGACGGAGTGGGGAGGAGTGCGGACCCGCAGCTTCGTCTACGTCGGGGTCATCACGGCGCACAAGTACCTGTCCACTCGCGCCTGGGCCGCCTATCGAACTTGGGCCCCCACTGTGCCCGGCCGCGTTGACTTCTTCACCAGCGATGGATCCAGCACCGAGCTGCCGCTGCCGCTGGTGGCGCTGCCCGGCGTGGACGACGTCTACCCGCCGCAGAAGAAGTCGTTCATGATGCTGAAGGTACATATGCAGGAGGGTGGTGGTGGTGGTGGTGGTCGCAGACGCGGTGGTTAGACCAGAATAACACCACGACTGTTGACCCCCCCCCCCCCCTCTCTCTTATCAGTGCCTCTCAGAGGTCGCAAACGGGTTTTGATTCCTTACCCGTACCAGTACCCGGCCGCACCAGGGTCCCAAACGGGTACCCGTACCCTACCCGATACCTGGCTACCCGTACCCGGCCAGGTATCGAGTAGGGTACGGGTATCGGGTACCCGATTGCGACCTCTGGGATGAAGCCATGTTGCAGGCGCGGGTGGGTTGATTCTAGGAACTTGAATTGTGAGAAGAGACAAGACGTTGGGAAATGAGTGACAAACGGTGACTCACCAGTGACTCACGGCCTACCCGTACCCGGCCGCACCAGGGTCGCAAACGGGTACCCGTACCCGGCCGGGTACGGGTAGCCGGGTATCGGGTGGGGTACGGGTATCGGGTACCCGGTTGCGACCTCTGGTGCCCCTACCTTATACTGGTAGGAACCTCCTGGTTACACCAGCCCACAGGGGATTATTGTGTCCGTCCGTCGTGCAGGGAGGGGCTGGGTGGGGAGGGGCTGGTCACCCCGTGGTGCCCTTATAAAACTCAACGTTTAACCTACTCACGCCGGCTTGTGCCCGCCCTCACAGTCGGGCATATTTGCGGAATACACCACGCCGTCGTTGACCCTGGCCATTGACCGAGCAACCCAACGTTCCTACCAGCTCCCTCCGCAGGAATGTGTTTACAGAGCAATGCAGACCTTAATTCCTTTCCAGCTCAGACCCCGCTTGCTTGCCCATTGTCACATATATAGCCTTGTTGTAGCTGCTCTCTCTCTCTCTCGTTGGTTCAGCAGTTTCCACTGCTGGATTGTATTGTTTCCGCCTGAAGACGACCGCTTGTGTTGCGATCGAAACGTGGGGATTTATTTTGTTTTCTACCTACGTGACTTTACCGAAAGAACCAAAGAGTATGGATTCCTGCAGTCACGAAAGCTTTAAATCAAGACCAGACCATTACCCCGTGCTCCTTACAAATCTCAACGTGTATCATACAAAGTCACCATCACAAGGGAGAAACACAAACAAATAGACACAAACATGTAGCCCGTATTGAAACGGCTGTGCGCCGTATGGGCCTGAAAACGCAATTTCCCCCGTACAAGAATCCGGGGTAAACCGTATGGGTTGACAGGTATGATCATACAACAACAAATATAACAAAATATATTACCAGGTAGGTGAGGGTCCCACTGAGCAATGTAGTTGTTTTTCAGAAGCGACCTGGCCATCAGAAATGATAGCTGCTCAACCAAGTGGGCTTGTCATCACGTGTAAATGTATAGCAGCAGCCAAATACAGGTAGTCCTCTACTTACGATGGAGATGCGTTACGACGACCCCATCGTAAGTCAAACATATCGTGAGTCGTAGATGGTCTAGCCTACCCAGGTGTCTTAAGGAATGGTGATAATTTCTAAATGTGGAAGTAAAAACCAGAGGACCCGGAGAAAAATCCACGCGGCCACAATGAAAGAGAGAGATATGCAAAATCCACATATACAGCAGACGTCAGGGTCAGGATTGAACCCACGACCTCCTGCATACCATGCAAGGGAGTTAATATCTGTTAAACTCTTTAACTTAGCTTTCCCGCTCGCGACCCAATCAATAACATTGGCGGCGAATATGCACCGGTGCTAGACCTCCCCTAGGTCGACTCAGCTTGAATGGGTACCTGGTGTGGGTGTGCAAACATTCAGCGCCGGGGAGATGAAGGCAGGCCGGGCGGGTGTAGTGCTGGCGACCCACCCCCCTCGTGTGCCGTGCCGGCCTTCATAGGTGCTTTTCGCTGACAGCACTTTCCCCCTAAGTCTGTTAAGGTTACAGGGGGGCGGGCGAGGATCTTTGTCTCTGTGTTTCTCTTGCGCGCGTAGTACATGCACGACCACTACCTGGACCAATTCGAGTGGTTTGTTCGCGCCGACGACGACGCCTACATTCGCGGGGATCGCCTCGAGCAGTTCCTGCGCCGCCTCAACAGCAGCGAGCCGCACTACCTGGGCCAGACGGGGCTGGGCACCACCGAGGAGCTGGGCAAGCTGGCGCTGGAGCCCGGCGAGAACTTCTGCATGGGTGGCCCGGGAATGGTGTTCAGCCGGGAGGCGCTTAGGAGGCTGGCGCCCAACGTGGGGCCGTGCCTGCGCGAGATGCACACGGGGCACGAGGACGTGGAGGTGGGGCGGTGCGTGCGGAGGTTCGCCGACACGCAGTGCGTGTGGTCCTATGAGGTGAGTGAGTTGGGTGAGCGGGTGCGAAATGGTGAGTTTGTGGTTGAGTGATTTGCTGGGTGGGTGACTGAATGGATGGGTAAGTAAATACTTGGATGGTTGGTGGGTGAGTGAATCTGTGAGTAAAGTGGGTAGGTGGGTGGGAGAATACGTGAGTGGGTGGGTAAGTGTACGATTGGGTGAAGTGAGTAGTTGAAATGAGTGGGTGGTTGAGTGAGTGGGTGAGTGCTTGAGTGGATGAGTGCTTTGTTGAGTTGGATATTTTAATAAGCGAATAGATGGGTGGGTGAGTAGGTGAGTGAATGAGTTACCGAGTGAGAATCGGCGACAGAAGGGTGAACTGTTTTTTGGGGTGTAACATGCTAGCCAATCAAACACCAGCTCCACACTTAGCAATAAGAATACTCGCCATCCAGACTCTAGCCTGACCCGACATGGCGTCGGTAGGCCTTCCTCCAGCAATGGAATAACAAAGCATGACATTTTTTTATTACTATTATTACATGCGTATAAGCTGAATAGAACTACGCTCTAAATTTTCGTGCTCGGCAAGGCCCCCTAGTCTCGATGGTTTTGCTCCTGCCAATAACATCTGGCAATGTAATAGCATTAATTTGATGGGCATTGCTGATGAGACCCAGATGGGGTCGAAACCAGTCCACGTTTTTTATTCGTAAAGAAATGTTTGTCATGAAACATGACTCCGGAAGGCCCAAACAGGCTGATGGATGAGAGATAAATAAATACTTGGGTTTTTTGTTTGTTAATGAAGAGAGATGTACTTTTGTCTGTTCGTTTGAATCTCCGTTATCTTGCGCTGACGAGCTTACATGGGCAGATCCACAAGTTTAACAACCTCAAACATTTCAGCATCAGCCGAATAGTTCCACACGTGGTGCCACATATGGTGCCACTTCGAAAGTGGTTTTAGAAAAATATGGATTATTTATGGAATAACTCATTGGTTTAATGCATACGCGAATCATAATGCCTGATCGCCATCACAGCGGAGATGAAAGCCAGTTTGTCTGCGTGCGTCTAAACACCATTGTACTTTGTGTGCATTCCTCCTTAGTGAACAAAAACGTGGAAGCAATCATTTATTCTATTCCAACTATAGTCCAGATTTGTTGACATCATCAGACATGGTCAATCCACTGCTAGTTGGAGCCTCCCCCCCCCCTTACCCGGCACTGGTCGTATGGATCGTAGTGGTTGCCTGGCATCCTTCACTAAAGCTGGTCGGTGCGGGTTGATGACCGGTTCAGATATCAGACATCATTCACCACTGATGTTAGTCGTGGCCAGGAATCAAACTCGGCCGCTGGGTTTATAGTGCAGTGCGCGCACCACCGTGCCGTCCCTTCCACCCCTGACACACTTTACCGACGTGTACAAAAAAAAACACCACCACGATACACACTTTACGATTATACTCCTCGACTACTGACGCCCACTGGCGCGCGCCGAGGCGCCCGACACCTCGACCGCTGGCAAAAAATGTAGCCTCTCGCCGAAACGCGTTAAATCTGCCAGCGCGTTCCTGACAGCGCATGCCAGCGGTGCCCCACTTGGGCTGGCGCCTGCTTCGCCTTCCATGGCCACACTTGAAAGATTTTATCCTTTGCTCCCCCGTATGTACTGTATATGTATGTACGTCGAATTTCTTTCGCACCCATCGGCCGCACGGCGTCATTTCAGCGGCGTTGGCTCAACACAAGCAACACTTGACCGGTTTGATTGTGCGGATTTAGTTTTTGTCCATGGTAAAAAAAAAAATCTTGAACCCGGACAAAACTATGTGTTTGTTGAAATTCTTTCGCACCCGTACGTAGTCAACCGTGCTAACAAAATTGAACACAAAGCAGTTCTAAAGAAATTAGATTGTCAATCTATATTTAAAAGTGCATAGCTCCAGTGGCTTCCTAATGTGGGAAGGGAAGAGATTTCCAGGAGGCCGCAGAAGCGCGCATGAAAGCACGCGATGCGACGACCAGCGTCTCTGTTCGATGGTGAGCCAAAAGCCGCTGCGTGGCTGACCGGCTACGTACGGTGCGAAAGAAGTTGAACATCCATAGTTTGCGCGATGAATTATGCCCCTTGACGACATCAGTAAGTTCTTTAGGTGAAATTCTACTGCTTGAGCTCAACCGTAAACATGAAATTGTTTAAAGGGGGAGGGGGTGACATAGAACCAAAACTCAGGGGTGTATTCCACAGTCAATGTTAAACACTAGAGGAATGTTAAACAGTTTATAATTTAATTTTTATTTAAAGCTTTCGTGACTGCAGGGATTCATATTCTTGGTTCTTTTTTATTGTTTTATATTTTTATTATTTTAGTGTTTCCCTTCTACGTGACTTTACCGAAAGAACCAAGCATATAGTTTATACTTGGTTTATTTTGGCTCGGCTTGTGCAGTTGTAATGTCAATGAGAGCGATAATCCCTCCACCATCTAACCTATGTGTGTCTGTATGTTTAACTTATTTCGAACCGTATGTGGCCAACCTCTGCGAATTGGGGGTGCGGGGGAAGGACCACAAACTAGACACAAAAAGCAGACATAGACAAACAAATAAAGTTGGCAGATGGGTCATGTGCCAATTGATTTGTATTCTTACAGCAAACCGGCATTTTACAAAAGTGAGCAAATTCGAAATTTTTGTAACTGCGTGGTTTTTCTGATGTCTTCAAGGCCACCTACTTGAGGGACGCGGATTAGGAAGCGCATTCACTCGAGATGTGAGCTCTGGCTACCCTACCTGACCATGCTGGGTGTACTCTTCAGCGAAACGTGGTACTATAACTGCCCAATTCCCCTTCGCTTTCCAAAAGCGAAACAAAACAGCAAGTTGGTAAATGTGTCCGCGTTGACAACCTGGCCGTATCGGCTGGCCACAGCTTAAATTGACATCGTACCGACACCGTCTGACCCAAACAAAAACACTAAAGAATTTGACGAATCCATTTCTTCTCCATTGTCTGTGCAAAAGGACATCTGCCCGACAATGTCGATACTGTACGCGTAGATTATCTTTCTTTTCGCCGAAAAAAAAAATTGGCAGTTAGACCCACACATGATAGCAATCTCAAGTTTCGCCATGCATAAGAAGTCTGTTTCGGAATGGGGCATTTGACGCCAGGGGTTTTCCTGGCAATATTCATCGATCCCTTTGTCTACACAAATGTCCAAGTGTACAGAAAGACAACCCATAATCAACGTTTTTGGGTTTAGATCGCGTTTATTTATGAATGTGTCGTAACCCTCCACCACCCGACACGGCCAATCAGTAAAAAAGTGTCACGTTGACAAAGACAAATAGTTCACTGCTTTAGCCCACCGGTGTGTTGAAGCCACAACATTTACAATTTGAGTACGACGTTTCGCTGGTAATTGCAACCAGCATCATCGGGCAATTCGCCAGAATGGTGAGGTTCTCCTGTGTCTCCCGTTCTTATATAGAGCAGCAGCAGGGTGACGTCATCATTAACTCATCAAGTGCCAAGATTCAAGGGGGGAGTTATTGTAATTATATACGACACATTTATAAATAAACGCGATCTAAACCCAAAAACGTTGATTATGAATAACATTGGTCGCGAAAGCCTACGTGTTAAACTGAGAAAGACAACCGCCTGATACGCCGATACTCTACGCCTAGATTTGTTTTCTTTTCGCCTAAAAATATATTTTGCCAGTTTGACCGACACACGATACTGAGCCCAAGTTTCCCCCCATGCATAAGAAGTCGGTTTCATAACGAGGCATTTGTCACCAGAGGTTTTTTCCTGGCAATGATCATGATCCAGATGCTTTCCAAAAAAGCACCGCTGTCTCTTCCAAGTTGGAAGCAACAGCGGCTGCGGGTGGTGGCAGCAGTGGTTTGGGCCCATGCCCTCGCTGTCTGGCCAAAAAATTCAGCTTGCGAAATGTGGGAATGTGTCTGGTGGTGCCGAGATGACAATTCCACTTTTTACGCTCGCACAATACCAGCTGCGCCTTGCACGGCCTCGGGGAGATCCCAGCATCTTCTTGGTTCTTTCGGTGAAGTCACGTAGAAGGGAAGTAATAAAATAATAAAAATAAAACATAATAAAAATTCTGCTTGCAAAATGTTTTATTATGTTTTATTTTTATTATTTGATTACTTCCCTTCTACGTGACTTTACCGAAAGAACCAAGAAGAAGAATCCCTGCAGTCACGAAAGCTTTAAATCTAAAGATCCCAGCATGTTTTCCCGCTGCAGAGAAGCCGTGCCGTGACGTGCCAATGGTGTTGCGGGCAATGAACATGTTGAGACCGGTTCACGTGCAACTGTGAGCCATGGTCGGGAATGGAACCCAGATTTCTGGATTCGTAGTGCAGTGCTACTACCTATTAGAGCCCTTCGGGTGTATGTTAGTTTGTATGTATGTTTTTGAACTCGTACCAGTGGCGGCTCCTGCAAAATCTCTCAGGGGGGGCAAATGTCTGGATGATTGATAGGGATAAGGTCCACCCATGCAATGGATAAATTAACAGCTTAAGCATGTAAAGGCAACTTCACTACTTTAATATTAATGAAAAATAAAGTGACTCTTACAATACATCTCCTTGTTTGTTTCTATACTCACTATTATTACAATCCACTCAGTTTCTTCTATTAAAGATTCCACTAGGTGGCGACAAATAATATTGTTGACTGAAACGTGCTTACGTATGATGACGTAAGCACGTATGATGACGTAAGCACGTTAGTGCGAGCCCTCCCGGAAGCCGTAGAGAATGCATTGCAGCGCCCGCCGTTCAGAAAAAAAACATCTTTGAATGTAAGTCTATGGGAACACTCGGGGCGATTCTCAGCCGGAGTGAAATCGCCCAAAAAGAGGCGGTACTCCACAGAACGTGACATGACGCTGATTGGACTATATCCAGAGGCACAGTAACGGCTGAGATTGGTGGTGCGTCGCCCAATCGCCCTAATGAAGAAACCGCCCCTGACTCACACCATACATAGCCAAGCGTGCTAATCGGATGTGCGTGGGAAGGACAACACACTAAACACAAGCAGTGTAGAAATGAGTTTCAATCTGGAATGAGGTGACATCTGGTCCACATATTTGGGGCAGCACTTTCCCACTTGCCCTGTCGTTGAGAGAAATGTTTGCTGCATGATCCCACCTGATGTTCATATCGAGAGCTGGAATCTAGCCGTATTAAGTGCAAAGATTAATTTTATGCAATGGCTTTTTTTGTACAGTCATCGGGTGGACCAGGCTAAGATTTCTCAGCTCACAAAAAATGTAAACCCGGTTTAATTACACAAAGTTGAAACCTGGAATCAAACCTAGCGTCTCAGCAGTGCCAGCTCAGCCCTCTAGCCTGAGCCACCCATCTTCTCGGACTTGGTCTATGAGCCAGATTGATTCATCTCATCCATAGTGTGTTGAACCACTACACTACAGGTCCAAACACTTTATCTTTCTGCCTTTTTCCCAAACACATTACTTAACTTAAAAATGTCCTCCCATCATCACAAGTTCTGACAACCTTGCTCAGCTAAAGATATGTATTCACTCTTTCTCTATGTATGTTGAGCTTCTTTTACACCGTACCTAACCAACCGTGCCAATCGGAGGTGCGGCGGAAGGACAACAAATGAAAGAATTGAGTTCTCATTCGTAATTTAAAAGTGCATAGCTGCAGTGGCTTTCTAATATCACAAAGGAAGAGCGTTCCAGACAACCGCAGAAGCGCATCTAAAAGAGCGCGATGCAGTGAACGTCTTTGTTCGATGGATAGCCATCGATGGTTAGTCATCGAACAGTGGATTGGATCTTTTCTGCAGGACAGGACCCAGCAGATGGCCTTGGGTCCCCATGTGTCCCCTTCTAGACCCTCCCCTCACGGTATCCCTCAGCAGTCAGTCTTATCTCCCCTTTTATTCAGTGCCTACGTTAGGCTGCTTGGGAACTGTCATCCGAAGGCACGGGTTTCAGTGCCATCAGTAACGCCGATGACACCCAGATGTCTCCTTCTCAGGTAACCCATGCAGCTCTCGCCTGCTTAACTCAACAGACTGTCTGGCAGAGGTAGCTGCATGGATGAAGCAGAACTGGCTAAGACGGAGCTGATGATTGTAGGGTCAGAAAGTCGGCTGAGGATGGGACAGGAGGGAGCTTGAGCCTCCATCAACACTGGTCAACAAAAAAAAATTCTGGCCTGGACTTTTGCAGCTGTTTTAGACTAATTTCAGGGTGCTGATTCCAAATCTGATCTCAGATTTGCTCTATCACATCTCATTTTTATGCTATCGGCATACCCCATTTTCATTGATTTTACCCGAAATTAACTCCGTCACTTATGATTCAAGTTCCTAGAATCAACCCACCTGCGCCTGCAACATGGCTTCATCCCAGAGGTCGGAATCAGTGACCCGATACCCGTACCCTACCTGTACCCGGCCGGGTACGGGTAGGGTACGGGTACGGCCGGGTACGGGTACCCGTTTGCGACCCTGGTGCGGCCGGGTACGGGTAAGGAATCAAAACCCGTTTGCGACCTCTGCTCACCGCCCTCACCGCCATGTCTACTCCATCTCGCCGCTCCCACCGCAGATGCAGCAGCTGTTCTACGAGCACTACGAACGCAACAAGCGCGGCTACATCCAAGATCTGCCGGCGAGCAAACTGCACCGCGCCATCACTCTGCACCCCAACAAGCGCCCCGCGTACCAGTACCGCCTGCACTCGCTGCTGCTCGCTTCACGTGCCCAAGAGCTGCGCCACAAGACCATCGAGCTGCACCGGCAGATCCTGCAGACTGCGGTGAGACGGGGTGGAGGGTACGGTCTTCGGCACGTGCCAAGTTACACCCATCGTCGTAACATCTATTTAAAAAAACGACACCTAATGTGTGTATATGTATCGATTTAAAGCTTTCGTGACTGCAGGGATTCATCTTCTTGGTTCTTTCGGTGAAGTCACGTAGAAGGGAAATAATAAATCACGTAGAAGGGAAATAATAAAATAATAAAGCTTAAATATACGCTGCCAAGCTTGGTGGTGTTCATTCAGACGCTGTCTTTCCGACAGACCTGTTCTTCACCTGAGGACGGCTGCTTGCGTTGTGGCCGAAACGTCTTGAGAATTATTTTATTATATTTTATTTTTATTATTTTCTTATTTCCCTTCTACGTGACTTTACCGAAAGAACCAAGAAGATGTGTATATGTATATAACAAAAATATACGCACGGTAAGTCCTTGCTTAACGCGTGGTGTTCACACAACGCGTTTTGTCTATAACGCGTCTCTTGCACGAGGAAACACGTGAAACGCGTGCACCGTTATAATGCGGTTTCTTCGTGGTCGACGATGAACTACTTTCTTGAGCTGCACAGCTGAGCGGTACAGTGATACAGTACGCGGAATGATACAGCACAGCAGCAGCGTACCCTCCATTATTTGCCCCGCCATCTCGCTGCGTATGCGTAGTAGTATCTCTGCAAACTTTATCGTTATTTATGCGGAAATATTTTCGTTAAAATGCGTTTTTTGCACAGCGTAGCACTTTTCAGGAACGCATCTACCGCGATAAATGAGGACCTTGCCGTATTAGGGCTGTTTTCGATTAATAGTAAATTAAGTTTCTTTAGTTCACTCCCTGAATCTATTTATTTCAGAGGGGCTGTATTTCAGTAATTTCATCATTTATCACAGAGCTGTCTTCAGTTTTTGTCGAGATAAATAAAATGTAAAAAAAATCAGTTCCTGAAGCTGCCAGTGCGTGGAGCGCGTAACATCAGACGGCACGGCGCGCTTCACGCGGTACGACGCTGAAAGCACGGCGGAGAGAGGCGCGTTGAGTTTGTATTCATTAAAACGTTCTTATTATATCTTACCCGGCGCTCTTATCCGCTGGCACCTGCAGACGGAGGCTCAGCAGCTGCTCGATAACGGCGGCGACGACGAAGCCAGCACCGCCTTGGACGTGTCGTCAGAGGACCGGCGCCTTGGCGCCTCGCCCTCCTTCATGCGCTTCCACCCGCGCGACCGCCAGCACGTGCTCGAGTGGGACTTCTTCACCGGCACGCACCTCTGGTCGGCGCGCGCCGGCGCCCAGGGCCCCCGCCAAGCCCTGAGCGGCGGCGCCCTCCGCTCGGCGCTTGACGGCACCATCGTGGCCCAGCTCATGGAAATGATCGACGCCCGCGCTAGGGCGCGCCGGCGAGCCATCGATTTCCGCGAGATCCTGTACGGCTACGCGCGCGTCAACCCGCTGCACGGCGCCGACTACGTGCTGGACGTCCTCATGACGTACCGCCGCAGCGAGGGCAAGCGCGCCGCCGTGCCGGTGCGCCGCCACGCCTACCTGCAGCAGACGTTCGGCCGCGCCGAATTCGCCGAGGAGCGCGAGATGCAAGCCGCCGAGTTCGCCGCGGCCGTGGACGCTAGCGCCGCCGCCGCAGCTGCCGCCGCTTCGGCCGACGGCGGCGGTATCGCCGGCGGTAATGCCGGCGACGGTTCGTTGCTCGCGGTGAAGCTATCGAACTCGCTCGGGCTCTTCGCGCCGTTCGGCCGCACCCCCGTTGAGGCGGTGCTGGCGGCCGCCGGGCCCAGCCGGGAGAGGATCCACATGCTGGTGCCGCTGGCCGGGCGGTACAAGGCGTTTGTCAGGTTCATGGAGAACTTTGAGCGCGTGTGCCTGGCTCGCCCGCAGAACATTAAGCTGGTGCTGCTGCTGTTTCGCCCTTCGAGCGACGACGGCGGCGGTGGCGGCGGCGACGGGGACGCGGTGGGAAGACCCGAGGCATTGGTAGAGGAGTACCGCCGGCGCTACCCGAAGGTGGAGATAGAGGTGCTGAGCGTGACCGGGCCTTTTTCGCGAGGCCTGGCTCTGGAGGTGGGGTCGTCGCAGTTTCCCGGCGATGCCCTCCTCTTCTTCTGCGACGTTGACCTGGCCTTCACAGCCGACGCCCTGCAGCGCTGCCGGGACAACGCCGGTCGCGTCGATCCCACCACCGGCAGCGCCAACGACGACGGGAGGGTTGGCCAAGTCTACTTCCCAGTCATCTTCAGCCAGTATGATCCGCGCATCGTCCACTCTGGGGGCGGCCGCTCGCCCACGAGCGACGACGGCGACGGTCGCCACGACGACGACGACCCCTTCGACTTCTCCGATCGCGCCGGAATGTGGCGCGCGTTCGGCTACGGCATCGCCTGCCTGCATCGCGCCGACCTGGCCCGTGCCGGCGGTTTCGACACATCGATTACGGGCTGGGGACTCGAGGACGTCGACTTGTTCGGCAAGGTGGTGGCGGCTCGTGCCGGCGGCGGTGCCGGTGGCGGGCTAGCCGTGTTCCGCAGCCCGGACCCCGGCGTGGCTCACCTCCACCACGAGGTGCGGTGCGACCCGGCGTTGGAGCCGAGGCAGCTGCGCATGTGCCGCAACTCGAAGGCGTCGACGTTGGGATCGGCGAGGCAGCTGGCGCACACGTGGCTGGCGCACGCCGAAGCCGCCGCCGTGGCCGCCGCTGGGGAAGACGAAGGAGGGGGACGGGGGCCGGGGAGGTTGGGCCCGACGGCCACCGACGTTGTTGGCGGCGGCGACGGTGCCGCGAGTCGGTAACCGCAAGCGCCGGCGCGTCAAATCGATTTCCTCGGCGGCGCCATCGACGTACAACAGATGGGCGCGTGCTGGTAGGGGGTGGGAGTGGGGGGTGAGCAATGGCGGCGCCGTTGGATTTCAACGGAGTTAGGCCAAACATCCCAAAGTTGCAGGACACTCATGAAGACTTGAGACTCGGCCAGGCTTTACTGGTAAATAGTTGATATTATAATTACACTGTAAAAATTAATACACATGAAAGTTTTCCTGGGCCCATATATATATTTTTTTTATCAATTTGGGTCGGACTATTTATATTTCATAGTGACGCAGTTTCAACGCGCCTGTGCCGATGTTCTGTGGCGCACTCATTTCATTAAAACCACATCGGCGAGAGGTCAGAACGCGGGGATAGCACCAGAGATTCCTGAACGCAAATGCAGATTTCAGCTGCCTGTTCTTTTAAGGCAGGTTTCTCAAGTGTAGCGAGCTTATCGCCCTCAGCCTGATCATCAGCGACTCGCAGAGACCCTTAATCTGGCTAAATTTCAGCTCTGAGATTTAAAAAAATATCTGTTCGACCATCATGCAACGAACATTAATAGGGGTTTTCCCCTTTTTTCTGGCAAAAAAACTGACACCTTTTGCAAGGAATCATGCTTACATTAACCACAATACTTGCAGTCAAATGCAAACAAAAAACAATACTCTGATAATTTATGCATTGTCTTTGAAACTGATTGGTCCACACCAGACAGCTTTCTTTAGAGCCTAGTCTCATATGATTTGACTGCAAGTATTGTAGTTAATGTAAGCATGATTCCTTGCAAAAGGTGTCAGTTTTGTTGCCAGAAAAAAGGGGAAAAACCCTATTAGTATATTTTGGTACTGGCAAAGGAGGTCCCATGATGAACATTACTCCGTGGCAGGACAGGTGGGAAAGTGCTGCCGCTTAACGTGTGCACTTTTAAGGGATCTCAGAAGTCGTTTCGATATCTGCATCTGCGACTGAATAGATTATATCACTGCGTAACAAAAATGATTTTTTTTTGTTCCTGGGTAGTGCTACTTTCTAATTGCTTATGCCTCAAAAGTACAGAAAATGGCTATTATTGCCCACAAACTTTGCTTTTGTGACCAGGACAGTGATATTTGAAATTTACCTATTTTCAATGAAAAATCGTGTGCATTTGTGTAATTCCTTCACATAAAGTCCTGGTAACAAAAGCTAAGTTTTCTATACTTTTGAAGCAAAAACAAATAACACTTACTACCCAGGAACAAAAATCGTGTTACATAGCGAATTATTGGGCTGATGACTTGACACCAAAAGCACAATTTGGATAAAATTGACAAACAAATGAAGAATATAAGCTCCAAAATTACTTGTTCGTGGACGTTTCATCGGTAATTACGCCGAGCCAAAATACAAAACCAAAAGCTGAACTTTGTGCATTGAACTGAATGAAGTACATTTCATTTCTTTAACTTTTAAGTTAACTGCCTGTCGCTTGCGTACCGTGTTTTTTTTTTATACATTTGCACATTTATGTTAATTGTAGCGTTAAAAGCATTATTTTCATACACGTAAGATGTGTAACAATTCATCGACTCATCGATAACTATCAATTAATAAAAATAAAAACAATAAAAACCACGACGTTTCGAAGGCAACACAAGCTTCCGTCTTCAGGTTTTCGCCTGAAGGCAACACAAACTTCCGTCTTCAGGTGAAAACCTGAAGATGGAAGCTCGTGTTGCCTTCGAAACGTCGTGATTTTTATTGTTTTTATTAATTTTAATTTCATTTTTTACCTACGTGACTTTACCGAAATAACTAAGAGTATGAATCCTTGCAGTCACGAAAGCTTCAAATCTAGAACTATCAATTAAGCTTTTCCTAAGGTGCTTGATAGACATCAAATCACGCGCGTTAGAATCGACACAAAAGATTCCTAAATAGATATTTTTTTACATTGCGATGCACGAGCTCTCTATCAAGGTCTGTCGTGGCGAAGTAGGCAAACAACCTCAATAACTGACACCGCACGGGGAAGTCATCCCTGGGTGGAACGGTGATCACAGCGGTTACAACACCGCACTACGAACCCAGCGGTCCGAGTTCCAATTACCAGCCTTTGGAGTTCGATGCCTGGCCACGGCTAATATCGGTGGCGAGTGATCTTGGACGGGGTCCCGAATGCCACTCCAGTGCTGCAAGAGCTCTCTCCTGCACCGACGTGTCCATGCCTCAATTATATATTTTTTTATTGTTATATTTACATTAGTTTCACGTGATGCCTACAATCCACTGGATATGTGAAAAATAGCTTTGTTGCTCATCGGATTCCTCCAGTATAAAAATAAATATTCCGATTCACTGAAGGCGCTCTATTTGCTAGTGTTAGAAAAATAAGGGTTCGCGATAGTGAAAAGGGGAGAATAGTTACATTCCGGATTTTTTGGGAGTAAACATTTTATCGAGTCTGGCTCTGTGAGCCTCGGGCAAAAGGTATGTGTGAAGGTGCATCGATAAAATTTGTATTTATTCTTACGCTCGTGATGTCGCATCACGATTGAGAGAATTTTCTTATTTACTATCCGTACAAAGAATACGCGAACTCTATGCTGTTACATCTAGGGTAATGGGAAAAACAGAACTAAATGACAGATTTAAAAAAAGTCAAAACACATTTTTGCATACAGACGTGTTTATTATACACCGTCTGTGACCAAATGACCCAGAATGCACGCGATCTTCATCATATTTCAGATGCCAAGCAGGTTTGAGCCTGGAAAGTGCTTTGGGTTGGTGACCGCCATGCATAACAGTTCTTAGAAGCTGTGGAGCCATTTTGGGCAATGCAGCATAAGCTATTGTCATTCAGTAATATAACCCCAGTTTACGAGGGGGGGGGGGGGGGGGTGCGTTCCTGAAAGGTGCGAAGACAAATACCGAAACGATCTAAATCAAAGCGGTTTACAGGGTAGCGAGAGGCGACGTGTGGGTGTGAGGTTGAGGCGACAAAAATCGGACGTTGGTATTCATAATGACGACGTAAAGGGTGGGGGGAAAGATGTACATCGGGATATTATTGTGCTCTTTCTACGCTCCTTCACCAACACTCCCCACCTTCACTGACCGGCGTGGTGAAGTATGGTCAAATAACTCTGCACAACTCACGCGGCTCTCATGCAGCATTGGATTCACAAGTGCTGCTGTACAAGTTGCAAAGTGTTATTGTTTTTTTACCCTTTTATCTGGCAACAAAACTGACAGCTTTTATACAAGGAGTCATGTTTGCATAGACCACAATACCTGCAGTCATAATGCACACAAAAAACATAACTCTGCATAATGACTGCAGGTATTGTGGTCTATGCAAACATGACTCCTTGTAAAAAATGTGTCAGTTTTGTTGCCAGATAAAAGGGTAAAAAAACAATTATCATATTTTTTTACTGCCAAATGAGGTTCCATTGGTATAAGTTGCAAAGTGTTGCTGTAAACGCTGTGGCCACAGGCCTGCCGGGTTAGTTCACGCGACTCCCCAAGACAGCTAAAAGGTGCCGTTTTATTCCGCTTTGTTAATGTGTATACCTCAGCAGATGAGAATGGCCCATTGCAGATTCAACTGTGAACCTCGGCTTAAGTTTAGCTCCTCGAAATGAACGTATTAGCGGTACGCTGCGCGGTATATGAAATGAGCGTAAAAAAAATTGCAATCATTATTTATTTTTTCACATCTTCAGGGGTGTGCATCAAAATCAGCTCTTGCGATGTCAAAGTGGTCGGAAGACCACAAACGTTACAAGTGGCTGAACACGAAGATTCAGTCCGTTGCCGAATAGCAGCGCCCAAGCTGATGACGAATGGCTTGCTCCATGTTTCAAAGGCAGATTTGACTTGTGTGCTTGACGTTCTTCAATTCGACGGACCCAAATCAACGGGGCAATAGACCTTTATTAGTAGACTGAATAAGCCTTCGAAGTGTCAATTGAAGACTGATGAACAGATTTGCTAATTCAAATTTAGATTTTAGACTGTTTTATGAGGATCGGTGCATTATGCTGCATCGGTGTACCGCCAATACGTTCAAATAACTGCTCTCAGCTCAAGATCCAAATGTGGCCGGCAAGCCTTAGAGAGCATTGTACACATGAAACGTGGCGGCATGGCACGCACGCACGCAAGGCGATGGAAGTCGTGCCTTACGATTCTGTTGTTTGTGAGCATGTATGTGTATCTACTTATTTCCAACCTGCATGCATTCTCCTGCGATGGGTATTCTCAAGTCCAGAAAGTGTTGGATTCGAGTTAAATTCCTGCAAGAGCAGCGCTTTTGCCACCATTCGTTTTCTGTTCCGAGACAATTTCAGTGTTTTATATTCGTGACATTTCTTAAAATTGAGATTTATCATGCATGCAGTAATGGTGTATTTCGTTTTTTTTTGTTAAAGAATGCATTTACTTGGTATTCATATTTTTTTAAGCCCACGACATTAATAAAGACAATTTTGTACTCAAGCGGTGACATTTTTATATGGGATGCTTGTGGGGAGGGAATATCACAGAGGACATCCACCACGTAAGTGGAGCGTTTCAATCGGTTCACATGCTGGAGCAAGGATTGTTCCATCATTGCGAGACCATGAGAGGTGGGGGAAGCCTACATCAAGGAGTGGACTTAACAGGACCCTGTGGGGTGGGCTGGTAGGAACGAATAACCAAAGAATATAAACAATGTATTATTACACTTGTTTAGCCAGGAAAGCCCCACTGAGTCAAAAGGTTTTTGTAGGGTCCTGCCAAGTGTTTGCAGTAGGGGGCGATGTTGCTACACCTAATCGGACGATACGAAGGGAGAGATTGAGGCCTAGTTCTAGGCGTTAGGCCTAGCTGTAGGCTTTAGGGCGCTGAGTTTTTTTTTATTTTCAAAGTTTTAATTAAAAGCTATCAGGGAATTATAAGGGAATGTTACACGTGTTTAGCCAGGAAAGCCTCATAATTTAAATGTTTTAATTAAAAGCTATCTGAGGGAATTAAGAGAATGTTACACTTGTTTAGCCAGGAAAGCGTCACTGAGTCTAAAGGTTTTTGTAGGGTCATGCCAAGTGTTTGCAGTAGGGGGCGATGTTGCTACATGGATGGACGGACGGACGAAATAATCTATTGGTGGCTGGTCCACTTCGTTCCTACCAGTATCATTGCTGATGACAAGTTTTTCTCCCGGGTCTCCTTTGCAACCTTTGGGCTCTCACTTGCCCATTAACTAGTTATAGGAAAACCCTGCATCACTTTAAACTATCTCCACACTCGCGTGATCAGTTGCGCAACTTGCTCATGCGGTTTTTCCCTCGTTGCTCATGAACTTGCTATCTGGGATTTTGTAATCTCATTTGGAACTCTGCACAACTGCAATGAGATTAAGTGATGAGATAAAAGTGATGAGAGATTACTTCTCTAAGCTTTAGAAACATCTGCATATGTTGCACGTACGATATTCGTAGGCCAATATCCGCAAAATGTTCTACTGACAAGCAATTCCGAAAGGTATCCCTCGTGAAAAGGGAATACTGTATGAGACTAGATTGCTGACATATGGAGGATGGCTCTGCAACCAGTTGCATACACCACAGAGACCCGACTTTAAGCAACCTGCTCGGAAATTAGCATTTAATAAATTGATACATTTAGTCTGTCCAGCTTACCCCGAATTCCAGTTTCATGTGGTTTTACTTTATATTTACAGCAATAAGCTGTCCAATTCTACAACTCAGAAAATCATGGAAACATAAAAAAAAATGTTTTACCAACTTAAGCCACTCTTTAGCTCAGCTGCACTCGAGGCAACTCAAGTATGCAGTCCATGTAAATGAGGTGATAGAAAAAAACTCAAAAGATTCTCCTGTACATTTTTTGTAATGATTTTACTAACAAACAGAACACTCATTGTGAAATGTATCCAAACTACTTTTGAAGATAATACAAATACTGGAGTTACAGTGAAATGGTAATCAAAGCGCAATTGAAATTACAAGGACTGGCATTTGATTACATGGCAGTAAGTTATGCAGGAAAAATACACAAGTTACGAAAGTCTCAAATCTTCACACTTCATTTCCGTTCGTCTAGTTTTTTCCAGTCGATCCAAAACCTCCGCTGCCTCGTTCCGTGTTTTCCAGTGACTGCAAATATTGACGGCAACAAAACATTGACATTTATGTTAGGCAGTCGTACAACATAGCTTCGTTTATATTTCGTAAAAAATAGTTAACATGTAAAACAAAAATTGGCTTCTTGGATTTCCGGCATCATGTCATGGGACCAAGAATCAAGTCAGATTCTCAAAGAGCAGTTCAACTACCCGTCTTAGAGAACAGCCCACAGAAGTGGATATCGTATATCTCGAAATCAGAATATGTATTTATACTGTAGGAATACGATGAGCTTTCAAGCTCTTTTTTCACACGTCCAGAGCGATGAGATCATTTCAAGTGACTGCAAGTCCACAGAATGGTGGGGGGACTTGTTCTGTCACAGAGTAACGTTTTGCCGCGTGACATTCAAACTGATATTTTTCATATTCAAAGCTGGAATTTAACAAAAAGGTGAAAAATCTGTTTTAATACGAATCTGCACATTCAGTGGCAACTAGGCTGAGGCTATCAACCTGCCACACTTGAGAAACCACTTTAATAACTTTTTATTTTATTTTACCAGGTAAGGCCCACTGAGCCACTTTATAGATCTTTTTCAGAAGCGACCTGGCCACAAACGATAGCTCAACAAAGTGGCTTATCATCAAATGGGAATGTATTGCAGCAAGATACTCTAAAACACACTTGACAGAATTTAAACCAACGGTGCTGGCTCCATGCCCTTGATTTCAGAGCCACCAGACCCACCTCTCATGGAAACGCGATTTAAACAAACGCGGTGCTACAAAATGAACATCAGGCCGTGTAATGTGTCAGCGTGAACTATTCATTTGTTAAGACGCCTGTGCCACACGGCCACCTCAATGTGACCAAGTCAAATCTCACCGTGCACTCTTCCAGTTGGGGATAGAAGATCTTTTCGCAAATCAGCTGTGCAATCCGGTCTCCCCTCTTAACTGCAATGGGACAAAATGAGTGCAAACATGTAGAGAATTGTAAATATTGTGGGTTTAATCTCCAACACTCATGTGCTGAACTAGTAACGAATTATATTCTTGGTTCTGTCGGTAAAGTCATGTAGAAGGGAAATAATAAAAATATAAAACAATAAAAAATGCTCACGACGTTTCGACTGCAACACAATCAATCATCATCAGGTGATGATTGTTTGATATTTTTATTATTTTATTATTTCCCTTCTACGTGACTTTACCGAAGGAACCAAGAATATGAATCCCTGCAGTCACGAAAGATTTAAATCAAAATTTAGTAACGAATTGGTATGTTTTGTTTACGCGACTAATTGGCTGTCGGGTGGTGGCGGGTTTAACGACACATTTATATTTAACTGATTTAACCCAACAACTTATATCATGAGTAGAAGAATGGTTAGAAGCTTCGTAACTGAGCGGGGAGCTTCGTCGGTGAATGCCATGTGAATGAAGATCATCAGTCATGACCTATGCACTGCTGGATGGAGGCCTCCCAAAGCTGATGGACGTCTCTGTCAAGCGATGCAATAACTGATCTCTCTCCAGCTCCATGTTGGAGAAGGTATATTTTGCACTGCGATTTAATTTCACTCCAATGTACCTTGGCTTCATATTTGCATTTTGTTAGTAGCCTACTATACATTTACTCGAATGAGGATATGCATGTTGAATGCAAGCCAAGAGTGAAAGTTAAACTTTACCTGCCCCGCAGGTTTAACTGGTACGGTGCCATTCAAGTGTCACCAGTTGAATGACGGTTTAATATATTCGCTTGCAATTCTAAATGTTCATTTCACTTTCCAGCCCTGTGGCGGGTGAGTTTAGAACTCTAGTTTGTTCCTGAAGCAATCGCATCGCTGCTCACTGAAGAATGTGGATACCTCAAGAGTTGCATTTTGCACAAATTTCCACGCTGTGCTGCAAACCTGGTGACCTAAAAAATATTCCGGGCCACAGCTAACATTGCTGGAAAGTGATGTCTGAACCATTCCTGAGTCCCTCCTCCCACCCTTTTACCAACCCGCAATGGAACATGTGAACTTTCCAGCTGTGGTAGTAAAATAATATTTGAGCGGACAAAAAATACTACAAGTCCGCTCGTTAACGGAGCCTGTTGGCAATGTGCTTACACCCACACGTTCGCGCCTTAACGCGCGTGCATTTGTGCAACGCGACTTTATATTTTTGTTTCAGAGTTTTGAAGTTCTCTGGAAAACACTGGTAGCATTCTGAGACGGACAATATTTCCTGGGCACAGCAATAAGCAGTCCGTCGGCTGTCCGGGAAATGTTGACGAACTGTAATATACGTAGTTAAAAGGTTTACGAGAGCTGTGGCACGGCAAAAGGTATTTACCGAGAAAAGGCTTCTTCCCGAAGTTGAAGAGCACCACACCGACATTTCCTCTGTAGTCTTCGTCTACGACGCCGGCTGAAAGGAATCACACATACAAGCGTTGTACAACCAGACCGGGAGCAACAATGGGAGATATTTTTAAAGTGATCAATTACTCTACTGTTTACTCGACTAATTGTGCACCACATTTCCCATTTTACAAGGGGCACAGATGGCTTGGGGGGGGGGTAGTATAATCCAGCCATTGCTCCGCTGATGAGTTTTATAACACGTTCCTTCGGAGTGGGCAGGTAGGAACTTGGTTGGACAGCGCATTCGTGCACGACAGACAAATAATCCCTGGTGGGCAGTGTGGAACCTGTTGTTCCTCTACCTGTATAAAATATAACTTGACTTTAGGTAGCCAGGCAGACAGCTCCCTTAACTCTCGGCCCCTCCCCTTTGCTTAGGCCCCTCCCCTGACCCCCCCCCCTCCCTTAGGCCCCTCCCCTGACCCCCCCTCCCTTAGGCCCCTCCTCTGACCCCCCCCCACCCCCTCAGGCCCCTCTCCTGACTCCCTCCTCCCTTAGGCACCTCCCCTCTCCGTACCCGGCAGTAGGTCTCCACCAATCAAAGAGCTGTGTGTATTATATATTTATTTATGCACGACAGACAGACAGTCAGACAGACAGACAGCTAAATAATCCCTGGTGGGCAGTGTGGAACATTGTTCCTCCCTGTAAAGGTCTCGCCTGTTACGTGTACCGCTAGACGGGAGGTGACAATTAGGTTTTAGTGTCGTGATCGGCATCACGAGCAGTGCCATGCTGAGTGGGGGGCGGGGGTTCCCGCCTTCGGGGAGACAGGATGTGAGGGTCGCTGCTATTTTTAAAGGGGACGGAACCCAAAATAATCTACCACCTAATCTTCCCGCTC